AAGGTAACGGTTCTATGAGAGAACATGTCGCCGGTGAGACGCAAGTCGAGGAAAAACGGAATAAGGTAGAAACAACATTTTTTTAATGTCTTTTAATGCAAGGTGGCGAAGCAGTTTTGAGGGCTTAATTGCCTCATTCAAGAGCCGGTCGCTGCATATTATGGGCTTGGTGGGTGGGAATCTCCCGTTGGGATAAATCCGTATTTTAAGTAGGACTCCTGATATTGTCTATTAACTCATTGACTGCCAGAGTTTATTGAGCATTTTGACTGATTTTTCAAGAGCCACAGAATAGTTTGTGCTCTGACTATATAAACACCGAACACACCAAAAGAAAGAGTAAACTCTCTTCTTTCATCAGGAAAAAAAATGTGTTTCTACCTTATTCCGTTCTTCCTCGACTTGCGTTGAAAAACGTAAAAGACGTCTATAGACGTCTTTGGCAGCCAATGAGTTAACCTTTATTTAACCAGGAAAAGTCCCATTGAGATTAACAATCTCTTTTTCAAGGGAGTCCTGGCCAAGACAGCGGCAAAAGATTACATTACAAATTACATTACGGTTTACAGTTACATCTATCTACAATTAGAAATTCAGTTACAAACCATAGATCTCATTTCCAAAGCTTTGAGCAATTGTTTAAAATGTCCGATTGGAATCAAATGGAGGTTAACCATGTTAATCTTCAGAAATTCATAAAACAGTTACAAACCATAGATCTAATTTCCAAACCTTTGAGCAATCGTTTAAAATGTCCGATTGGAATCAAATCCTTCAACTTCCAGTCTTTCTGAAGATTAACATGGTAAACCTCCGTGTGCCCGCAGGCGGGGGGGCGCTGGTCCTGGGTCAGGAGCAGGACAAGAGGGGCGAGGGCTTCAACCCGGTGGAGTCCTTTGTGGGGTCCATCAGCCAGCTCAACATCTGGGACCGGGTCCTCACACCACAGCAGGTAAAGGAAAAGGCTTTTTTTTTAAGGGGGTGCCCCAGGGTCACATTAAGATCAGTCATTTTGGCCCAAACTGGAACTTTTGTGCCTCATTCTGAGCACAAACGTCCATGAAAAATTCATAAAGTCCCTGAAAAAATCCATGAAGTCCCTGAAAAAATCCATGAAATCCATGAAAAAATCCATGAAGTCCCTGAAAAAATGCATGAAGTCCCTGAAAAAATTCATTAAGTTCTTGAAAAAATCCATTAAATCCTTGAAAAAATGCATTAAGTTCCTGAAAAAATCCATGAAGTCCCTGAAAAAATTCATGAAGTCCCTAAAAAAAT